TTGCCTCTTTGCACTCCCTCCAAGGCTTTTCTGACTTCTATCATTATTGGTGGGATGCCATCTGGAATTCTGCTAGTTCTTATATTAAGGTCGTGGTTGTGCCGGCTGCTGTACAGATCTCTGTAAAACTCCTCTGCTATTTTAACTATCATATCCATATTGGTAGTTACTTTGCCTTCCTTGTCCCTTAGTGCATACATCTGGTTTTTGCCTTTACCAAGTTTCCTTTTCACTGCTTTGACGCTTCCTCCGTTCTTCAGAGCATGTCCAATTTTCTTCATGTTATACCTTCTTACATAGGATACCTTACGCTTATTAGTCAACTTCGTAAGCTCTGCCAATTCTATTTTGTCTGTGGTATTTGAGGCTTTAATGCTTTGACGCTTCTCTTCGTCTCCTGGGACAGCTTACCTGTGGCCTGCCTAAGTACCGTACCTCTAATTTCCACCTGTACACTCTGTAATGATACTCGTCAGATTATCATTCATTGCATCAACGCTAAGGCTGGTTTCCTCAATAATAGCTGAGTACCTGTTCTGAAGCGAGACTGAGTTCCTGTACTTTCCCACTCAGTTCTAGCTCATTGATTGGCTTCTTGTGTATCAGTTTCTGTTGTTCCTTCTTCAAGTCTAGGCGAATTCGAGACATCACCATTCTATGGTCACTGCATCGTACCTTGCCAAGCACTTCTACATCCTGCACGATGCCTGGGTGTGCTCTCAGTATAAAGTCTATTTCGTTCTTACTTTGGCCATTAAGGCTCCTCTATGTCCACTTGCGGTACCCTCATTTTTGGTCGAAGGTATTCAAGATCCATACATTATTGCGTTCAGTGAATTCTACTAGTAGTTCTCCTCTGGAATTTCTAGTACTGATGCCATAATCTCCTACTGCCTGGTTTCTAGCTTGCTTCTTCCCTACCTTGGCATTGAAGTCGCCCATCAGTATAGTATACTGTGTTTTTACCTTATTCATTGCCAATTCCACATCTTCATAGAAGCTTTCAACTGACGCATCATCATGGCTGGATGTAGGCATGTAAGCCTGTACCACCTTCATATTGTATCTCTTATTGAGTTTAATTACGATATCTATCACCTTTTCATTATTGCTATAGTATTCCTCTATGTTGCCAGCTATATTTCTGTGGATAAGGAACCCCATGCCCAGTTCTCCTCTGACAGCCAGCCCACGATCACAAAGGACGTGCCCATTCTGTAGCACTGTTTAAGCCTCATCTGTCCTTCTAACCTCACTGAGCCCTATTACATCCCATTTAACACCCTCTAGCTCTTCAAATAGTACAGCTAGACTTGCCTCACTAGATAAAGCTCTAGTGTTAAATTTTGCCAAGTTCAGGTTCCAATGGCGACCTGTCTGGACCCAGAGATTCTTAGCACCCTCTGCTGCGTTGCAGATCTGACCGCCGCCGTGGTCAGTTGCTTTGCAGCCGCTGGGGACTAAGGGCCGTGAGTTGATTGACATTTGCATGTGGGAGGTAGTGGCCAGATATTGCACCAGGGTGGCCTTGTCTGGTGAGGGAGTGCGTTACCGGTGGTGGTCAGCGGTGAGGCCGCACCCCAGGCCTCTTAATGCAGTTCTATCACCGCGCAAAATTTTTGGGGAACTGCCCGGCACCGAGATTCGAACCACGGACCTCTTGCACGCGAGACGGATGCTCTAACCACTATGCCATCATTGCTATTAAATTTGCTTAAATCACCTACTATGTCATTTATTTAAACCATTAGTGGTTGCAAGTGAATTAAAAGTATTTGGTCCTCGAAAAGCCAAACTTGTCGCTTACATCCTGAGAAATGAAGATGAATGCAAAGTATGCAAATGGCTGCTCCTCTAACCCCAAATATTTCATGCTGAATACTGTCATGCTAAAAAAATTAAGGTGTTTGTAACCTCATCCACTTTTCCTGATTTCCAGGCACTATTCTTAGTCTTTGTTACATTTTTGCACAGTAAACCGTAATATTTTTTCTGTGAAAGCTGTTACAAAACACAACAGCATTGGGGTAGTAGTTCGCCACTGCCTGTAACTGCTATTTCACGAAATAAAAAAAAATGAAAACAGAAAAAAAATTCTAAGAACGCCGGCCACTCTTACTAACATTGTCAATCAAGCATGAGTACCTCCAAGTTCTGTGCCCTCAACCTTGCTTTTAAATATCAAGCAATGGAGTCAACCTGGGCAACAAATACAACCGGTGGTGGCTGTAATTCTTCACTTTCACCCACCACCTACCTAACCATTGGTAAGCAGCCACTCCATGCTCTTGGCCATGACTCTGTTGACAGTGATGGCTGTTGGGGCCCTTATTAGGAAAAGGCGTCTGGAGATCACAACAAGAGCCGATTTAGAAGCCGTAGTTATATACCGCAGCCAACGATGGTGTCCGTAACTGCTATGCTATTGTGAAAAATAAAAAAATGCAATTAAAAAAATTTCTAGCAATGAGGATAGGATTAGAACCCAGGACCTCTGTGTGGCTGTGGAGTATTCAGAGAGTCATGCTGGTTCTGTGAATACACGCTAAAACACGCTATGAAGGTGTCATGTCGGCAAAGAACCGTGGCAACATAACATAGCATCGTACAAGAGTAAAATAACAACCAAGTGGCACACAGTGAATTGTGCAACGAGTTGGTCGTTCAATCTTTCCAACGCATCATAAAAGACGGCCATAATTCTTTGTCATCAGCCACAGCACAAAGCATCCATAATGCCTTGCAAATGCGTAGTGGGCACCGCGCTTATCCACAAAATAACACACAGTGGCATATTGGGGGCTTACCTAATTAAGTTACGATGGTTCATGGCATAGTGATTACCTTGTATGTTTATTAGTGGCCCAAGATAGTCTACAATGGGCTCTGGAAAGGACGCTGTTCCAGCTTTCACTATGACTGCACTGCGTGTTCTGTGCAGGCCCAGCAATTTTTGTCAGGGGTGGAGCTAGGCCTTTTTTAGTAAGGGGACAGCGGGTTGTACTCGTGACAAGTGAATTCCTTCCTAGGGGGCACTAGGGCGAGGAACTTGCGCATTGTGGTTCGACTATGTTTGCTGTAATAGAGAGGCACAAGCAGGAACTTGGGTGAGGTGGGGTGTAAAAAAAGGGAAAACATGATCATATCTGGTGCTCCATGGTGGTGATACTAATGGGACACAGCAATAGCATATCACCAGGTGCAGGCATAATACTACAGCTCCATGCATAGTTTTAAAGGTATCCTACATGATGATACTGGCCAAATAGACATATTTGCCGAATCCCCATGGGGAGTCAAATTCATTTGACGACTGGAAACTTTACGGGCATTATATATTCCAGGTATTCATTTCAGAAATGATGAGTCATCTTAACAGAATCGCTTGGAGAAGACCATCACTCTTTCTCCGTGTGAAATTCAAGCTACAGTTGTCCCTTACCATATCTGAACCACATGAACCACAACCTTAGGTCGGAATCTGAACAACGTCATATTAGACAACCTCGAACAGTGCATTCTTATATTTAACTGCAAATCGTATTCACATTCTGAGTGTCAGAACTTCTCTAGAATTGTTTCCATGTATTCGCGCACAGTAATATCAGTTCTTGCTGAGAGAATGTTGAAAAATGTCACACTGTTGTGTTATTCCAGTGTCGCATAGTCACTTTTGATCTCGATAGGGTCTAGCTGATTCGAATAAAATTTCTCGCTTGTAATTTGCCCTTTTACGTAAGCTGCAGAAAGGAGCCGATCACTATTAAGAGATTTGATCCCGATCGGGTTTAACCATGACAAGCATTGCACTTCGTGAGTGTGACAACGGTATTAATAAAGCGAACAAATCATTCAACAATCAAACTTTTATCGAATGTGCTGGTTTTCGCACGATTAGAAAGTACAACGTAAAACACAGGTCAAGCTGAAAGCATAGCCCAGTTTTCCGCCACGATAACGGTCGTCCTTGCAGTGGGGAAAAGTTTAGTTCTTTTCACGCAGTTGTAGTTCAATCACTTCTCTCGTCTGATTGCATAACAGAGATGGCGCGAAGGTACGAGTTCTCCCACTGCTTGCTAATGGACGGCCAATTTTCACACGGTAACTAAAATGTGAAAGGAACACATATCGCAAGAAATAAGTGTATCCTGCTTTGGTACGTCGAATAACAGGTACATGCCACCACAGCGGCAGCTCCAAGTATAACTACCGTCCACATTCACTCCCATATCGGTCAAGAGAACCTCCTCGCTGATCGGTGGGCTCAATGGGGCACTGCAGTGTCGCACAGTCGCGTCATACTCTTTGCGCTTCTGTTCGTCACACAGTGTCTTCCAAGCCGTGTTCAAGCGCACGAATTCTTCAGAATCCCCACTATTTCTTTTGTCAGGATGTAGTTGCAACACTTTCTTACGATAGGACTTCTTGATCTCCTCCACAGGAGCATCGCGAGACACTCCCAACACGTCGTAGTAGTCGCACATGACGAATTCTGCGATTACGTGATCGAATGATTTAGTTCCTCGCGATGAATCACCAGAAGCCGTTGACAGCACACACAAACCAGTGGCAGCCGATTAAATTGTCCTAAACAGCAGAAACCGCCATATATGCATCACACTCGTGGCATAACACCTCGGAACGTGCGTCACGCGCAGTTGCTACCTGTTCGCTCGTGTCGGTCGAATAGTCGAGACTCAAGTCACACAGTGGCTCCAAACCGTCACGCACGTGGAAAGATTTTGTACTGTCGTGTCTAAACTCCACGTGCGCGAAGACAGCGCTCTCATCCACTTGCCATGGTTCAGAGCAACGGTTCAGAAGAAACTGCTGTACGAACTCGCTTTCAGTTTTGGTTTCCACTCCAACCATCATTTTGCTGAAAACTACGTTTGCCAAGCTAAAACACTCTTTTTTTGCATCTTTATTTAGCAGTTATTTTAAAATTTTTAACTACGATTATTAAGAAAGTTGGTGTACTTTTGTAAAGGTATATCGTTCAATGTTTACTATCATCATCAGTACTCAAAAGTACAAAAGAGAGCAAAGTTAATTTTCAATAGGCCAAAGCTGTAGCGCTTGATGGTCGTGTAAGGTCTGTCTAAGTAGAGAAAAACAAACGTAACATGTCTTCCCGCAATTCGCACGCATTATGAACCAGGCACGTTTTGCAACGCTTCGCCTTGACCATGCGCCACAGTGCAGTGGGTGCTGGATAACCCGGCACTTGAATAAGCGGCACCGATAGATTCGTTTCACCTGCACGCTCGTACAACGTGAGCATCAGAGGCGCGCAAAAAAGGGAACGGCGACGAAACTCGGATCGCTGAAGATTTGGAGATACGAGGGGAGCATCCTAGTGCAAGAGCGTCCGAGGAGGGCGTCTCTTCGGCGGGACCGCTGGATGTAAAAGTGCTCCGGCGCTTCTTTTGCAACTTTCACCTGCTCGGCGTGTGTCTTGTATCGGAAAGGTTCCGAAGCTCAGTATTGTGATGTGCACCGTCCGGTGCCTTTCAAGTGTTCGGGTACCAGGGGCGAAGGCGTCATAGCGACAAGTATGGTGTGCACAGCTGCATCATGCCATCCAAGAAGCAGTATAATTTAGTAAGCGATGATTCGTACGACAGCAGAATTCCCCTGCACAGTGAAGAAGCTTTTCAACATGGAATATCGTTTAATGCCAAGGTGAGCACTTTTCGCTTTCACCGACTGCTTGCTCAGTCACCTTGCTTTTGGTGTAGTAGCTATTTTTTGTTGCTGAGAATACGGTGCAAAGGTCATCGTGCGAGAATCTAGCCAGCCTATTCCTGATACCAAGTGTGAGAGTTCATCGCGAGTTTTCTGTGCATGGTTTCTCGTGTGGGGTGTCACGTTAAGCTTTGAGCTCTGGTGTTGCATATTAAAAACTCTGCAGAATCGGTAAAACTTGGAACATTTTCCGTTTAAATAATGGCGTGATTTTGTGCTTTTCTTTGCAAGTACATTGGCACCATGGATGTTCCTCGACCCAGCAGCCGAGTCGAGATCGTCGCAGCTATGCGCCGAATTCGGGTGAGGTCTGCGGTCGTTCGTGGGGAAAATACAACGGGTTGCATGTTTTGGTCTAGCTTTAATTTCTGATGCATGGAGGAGCCACACAGCTGCTATTGTGACTCCACTTGGCACTTAATAACTCGACCAAATCCACTCCTGTTATTTATTTCTGCCGGCTTGCCTTCCGGAGAAGCTGCCGCGTGCTTTCGTGTCATGATATTGTCTTTTATTTCGTTTCGGTCCTGACAAAGGAGGACTTGTAGTTTGCTGTGTGACTTTCCTTTTTTTTTGTTGCACAAATTACTGATATTGATGTGTAACAAACCACTTTATTGTCTCATTATTCGCCTCCTTAGAGATCACTGGTGCTGAGCTAGAACTTGTCAATCTATTGCAGTATGAATTCAAAGCAGAATCGGTCAAGAAAAAGAAGGTGACAATTACCATATCTGTTGATGGGGTGAAAATCATCTTGCGGAAGAAACATGTGAGTGTCTTTCTCATCTCAATGTTAATCATGTTGGAACATATTGCTCGCTGGCATACGTATTTTATACCATTATTTTTTTACTATTTATTGGTTAGGCATACATGTAAGCATAATGTTGTAGAAATGTATCCATTTTTTTCCTTTTAAATTTATATTGCAATGCTGATCTATCATACATGTTCCATTAATAGTAAAATACTGTATGTCCATGTGCAACAACTGTGTAATTTGTATGATTCGTTTTCATTCTTTCAAGACCACGTGCATAGGCCAATTGTCATGCTCAGTTCTGTCTTTTGTACTTTTTTAGGTACTATACTTTATTTAATTGACTCATGTGAAACCCATTATGTTTTTAGAAAAACCAGTGGGCATGGGATGACAACAGGTACCTCATAATGAACCATCCAATCTATAGGTGAGACCTCACTTTCTCTCACGCATTTTATAAGAAGGCCGTGCAAGAGTGACTACAGCTTGATTGTGATAAAACAGCTTTGGCCTAGTTTCTGTACAACACACGTTAAAAGTTTGGGGCTTGATAGTTTTCCATGTGTGCTGAGTACAGCTGTGTGGTTAGCGTTCTATCCCTGAATGTGGAATGTTCTTAGGCTGTTATTCTTAGCAATGCAATTGGATGCCTTTTTAGTGGTTGCGTAACTTTAGTGGCAGAACTTTTTTTAAGTTGCTCTTCTGTGAGGGAAAGTTCTTGAGTTGTCAATTGACTCATTGGCTTCATTAGAAGTTACTCCTCTTTCTCAAGGAAGGAGTACCTTTTAATAAAAGGGAAAATGTGAATTATGTCTTCACAGTGATTAACTGATTTTCATTGTTTCACCTGAAAAAAAAAAAGGCTTGTTTCTTTGTTGCATGAAAAACAGCTATTTTGTTTGTAATTTTGTTAAGATTGTATTTGACTCTGAAAGTAATGATGAGAGGCATAGTGTACATGGAATAGAATGTGGCAGTGCTAATTGAGAATAGTGCTAGTCTGATGCTATTCCTAATTGCCACTGTGCTTTTTGTATTTCAGATGGATTTATATTTCAATGGGAAATGGATTTTCATTTAGTGTTGAGTATGATTTGGATGAGGACAATTTGAATTTTGTAATGATGTTTAACCTTCAGCAGGGCATGTAAATGTGTGGTTTACATATTTTACTAGCTCAGCCTCACTGGATATGTCTGAACATCTTTTTTTTTCCTTTATGTGAGATCACAAGAGGTTTACATATGTCTGTACAGGCACTCCAAAAGTAGAAAGGAGCACGTGAACTGTGGTTAAGCTACGCAAAAGTGAATGCCAGCCCGCTCCATCAGAGAAGTGGTTCTTTATTTTTATACGGAGATGTGCCAGAAGATAATGTCGTCATTTTCGTATGAAAATGAACCACTTCCCTGATGAAGCACGCTAGCATCCACTTTTGCGTAGCTTGGCCACAGCTCGCGTGCTCTGTTTTACAGTTGGAGCACCTGTATGTGCATCCATATTTTGTTTCAGTTTTCTGTACAGGCTTTTCAACCCTGTGGCACTATCACTTCATCTATGGGGCTTTTGTCTGAACTGTTGTATTTGTGGAATTCTCATGAATATTTCCACACTTTTCAGAATCTTCTACGTTTCACACGATTCTCAAGATCTGAAGATCTTTAGCTACATTGCACGAGATGGCGGTAGCAATGGGTTCAAGTGCAATGTGTTCAAGTCCAAAAAGAAGGTATGCTGTGATTTTTCACTCCACTTCTCTCTAATTGTTTATCTTGATCAATTGGTGGACATTCTTGTGCTTATTTATGGGTAACCTTATGAGGTGTGGTAATTACATTGTTAGCCAAGTTGAGTGTGAAAGTCGCAAAATAATTCATAAATAACACATGATTTCTCTTACTAGCTTGAGGAACAGTGACAGTGCAGTGGCCACAGTCTTTTCAACATTCTTTGTCAGAAACTTAAGCCCCGCTGCGGTGGTCTAGTGGCTAAGGTACTCGGCTGCTGACCCGCAGGTCGCGGGTTCGATTCCCGGCTGCGGCGGCTGCATTTTCGATGGAGGCGGAAATGTTGGAGGCCCGTGTGCTCAGATTTGGGTGCACGTTAAAGAACCCCAGGTGGTCGAAATTTCCGGAGCCCTCCACTACGGCGTCTCTCATAATCAAATGGTGGTTTTGGGACGTTAAACGCCACAAATCAAATCATGTCAGAAACTTAAACCAAGGGCCATGGCAGTATATAAAAAAAAGTTGATAATTGCTAGTTCACTGTGCCATTGTAGTTTTTGAGAGTATATGCTATGTACTTTTTAGGCCTTTTATTAATGAAATTTTCTCCTGTAAAAAGCATCAGTGGAGACTGAATGTCTATAAAGTTATGTTGTCTGCAAGAAATGAATATAAAGTGTAAGTGAATGATTTTGAATTCAAGTACAGTTATCTTCCGTAGCATTCTGCAGCTTTCTACCAATGAAGTTGCCTTAGCTTCTTTGTGGAAATAGATGGCACAAGCTAGAAAAAAGACAGTGCTACTTTTTTGCTGTTTTAGCTTTCAGTAAACATGTGACAGAGAATATGGTACAAATGCGTAAAGCTGAAGTGGTGCTAAATATTGAGTGCCTAGCATTTCGCAAACTTCTGTTGCTGTTGCGGAAAAAGTTGAAATACTTGCATGTATTTGAATGCATAATGCATGGTCTAGCTCTTCAGCTTTCTTGGCATGGTTTGAACCATTTGAATTATGAGTGGTGCTTTAAAACTGTGAGGATTCGATTTTTGTTTTTTGTCATCTATGCATCATTGCCTCCGCTGCACTGCCATCTTGCATAAGTGTATGTTTATATAGTTTTTTTTTAATTTCATGTGCAAAGCTTATTCTCTTTTTATTTTGCATACTTGGTTAGGGATGTTTTTGCATGTGAAGGTCTCGTAGTTAAAAAAAAAAAAACCCACAGGAACTCGTCGTAACACTAAATGCATGTTTGTTAAGTGCTTATTGTAGTATTAATTACAAAGACTTCATCCATAATAAATAGAAAAAAAAATCTGGGAAAACATAAGAGTAAAAAAAAAAAACAAAAACATTGTATAAATGTATGACAGTATCTAATAGTTGATGGTACACTAAACAGAAATGAATTTCCTTTGTGAATTCCTTTTTCACAATAACAAAAACACCACGCTGTCGGTGAAAATACGCTTGCCTAGCGAGAAAACTCGCAAAAAGAAACTTCGGGTGCTGATGCCACCTTGAAGTTCCCGTACCAATCGTCGTGATGTCATAGATTTTAATGCCGTGTACTGGGGCCTACTTAGTTCCCAATCAATAAATATGAAGTACATTGTGTTCTGGCGAGCCAGAGGCTTATCTTGCCATATTTCAAAAATATTTCATTAAGCCGATGTTAAAAACAACAACTTTGAAATCCATGATGTCACTGTTGAAAATTTTGGTGGGAAATTAAAAGTGAAACTTTTGACATAGACACCTATGTATTGATAAGTCTATGGTAGTTAAATTAACATAACAATACTTTCAGAGCATGATTTATCAGTCTAAACTAATTTATTGTGTTACTTTGGGGTCTCCAATTTAAGCAGGTCATATGTAACAGAGGCACCATGAAATATTGAAACAAAGTTAATGTGATAAAATGAAAGAACAAACTGCGATATAAAACATTGCAACTAAAAAACAAGTGCAAATTGAATACCTCTAGAAAATATTTTAAAAATTCATATGACATGACATAAATGACAAATGACATGACAAAAATTCATGACAAATAGTGATAGGAAAAATGAAAAGGAACGGGTAATAATCAGTGGAAAAAGTTGTGCACAACTTGTCTTGTTGGTACCCATCTTGCAATACAAAGTGCAAGGAGAAATCATAAAGAAAGAATATCAAAATTGTAAATTAGTGCAAGTGTTCACATAACTTGCAAGAGAATATTTCTTGTTGAAGCATACAAATGTATGCACCAATGATGGCAGTTAAATATTGTATGGTATAAAATAACAAAATATAATGTCAGAGAAGAGGGCAATTAATTTTTCAATCAGGTGGCTACTTGGGCTACTTTGTGAAGCATACTTGACAAGGAATGTCTTCTTCAGTGCACTTAGCATTAAGTGCGCTCTGACCTACTTTGTCCTTTTCTTCAAATGTTACAAGCACTGAAACAGGTTTTCCTAGTCAAACAGTTAATTTTTCATAGTTTGTCAGAGTGTGGCGATAGAGTAAATAATTGTTTGTAGAAAACCTGCTAATGGTAGCATTTTTATGATCACCAGACTAAGCCAGGCTGATCAAGGGTTTATTAAGCATATGAATATAAAGCACATTACGTTTCTCAGTAGCACACAGTGCTCAATCATTTCTATTAACTATCCTACACTGTTGTGGAGTAAGCCACCATAGCAGATGGCAGTGAAGCTAGCGAAAAAAAAGAAAAAAAAGAGCTGCTTGTGCATAATATACTGTACTGAAGCAGCATTTTTGTTTGTCTCAAGCTTGATGACCTTATTAAATATTTTCGCGAACACCAGCTTGTATACTTTCTTTATTCACCTGTTGCTCAGCTTGTGCTTAATATTGTTCTTGAATGGTAAAATTAGTTGCATATTCTTATTGTTCTTGTTTGATAAAGAAGCACTAAATTTTTTTTTTTACATTTCAACATTGGGGGAATACTGATATGGTTTCTAGCACAAGCATTATTCTTTCGTTGTCAAAGTCTATGCGCGGTGGCTGTGGGATGAATTGAGGTGCTGACAAGCAGGGAAATATAAACTTCAGTGACATGGTTCGAGTGGCAGAGGAAATGTACCTGATCTCAATAGTTAGAAAATAAGTCATCCACCCTCTAGCAGAATTAGCAGCGAGCAGCATGTGGAAGTTTAAATGTAACCACCAACGAGGTTAGAAAGGTCATATGCGACATGCCATGCAGAAAAGCAGCCAGGTGTGGCGGAATGCAGCCGATCTGATTAAATATTGAAAAGAATTTATTTAGAAGGAACTTGCGGCTCTTACACTTAGCGCCTCAAAACAACAACATTTCCAGTAACGGTTCTAGTTAGCTGGAAAAATGCCAATGTTATACCAATACACTAGAAAAGGGATAGAAAAAGACCTAAAAGAATACAGTCACATCAGCCTTACTTTTGGTGATACACAAAGCATCTACAAAGGCAATTTCAAACAGGATGAGAGAAACACTTCACTTTACCCAACCTTAAGGAACAAGCCGGGATCAGGAAAGGCTACTCTACGATGGATCACATGTGATAAATCAGATAATGGAGAAAGCTGCTGAATACAGCAAACTCCTTTATGTAGTCTTCATAGACTATGAAAATGCATTACTTAGTGGAGATATCTGCCGTCTTAGTAGCATCAAGTTGACAAGGAGTAGTTGAGTCTTATGTCAATACCTGATGCTGACATTTATAAATACTCTACAGCTACCTTACTATGCCATAAAAACACACACATAAAGTGACACAAAAAAAAGGGAGTTAGACAGTAGGATACAATATCCCCAAAGTTGTATTGCAATGGAAGAGTCTGGGTGATGGGGAAAGTAAAAATAAATCGCAGCATATCCACGGTGTGAATGACGATGAGTGGGCAAAGCGTCCATCCGTCTGTCTGTGCTTCTGTCCGTCCGTCCGTCCACCGCTTCTTTTTGTCTGTCGGTAAGTCCGTAAGTCCATCCGTCTGTCTGTATGTCTGTCCGTTTGTCTGTCCGTCCATCTAGTGAACACTCCAAGTATTGCCTTCTCGCATCTTTTCATTATATATTCATCATATACAAGTACCGCCATCTAGCGGACATTCCAAGAACTAAACGAGAGGTGACTACCTGCTACATACATCGAGGATGCACGACCAATGGCTTAAGGAGCTTCGCCCCTAAATGTCAAGAGAGTTGGTCAGTGGTGCCAGTTTATGGTGACCGAAAACCAAGATTGTGCCTTCGAATGAAATCTTTTTTTGAGCCTTTTAGCATTTCGCCTCGATTGAGCAGAAGGGAGAAGGCATAGCATGAGCATAAGCAGGGCACCACTAGTCTTGTTCCTCTCTTCTCTGGTCCTTCTTTCTGTGAGGGCTTTGAAAGAATGGCTACGTACCAACTATCTCGCATAGCAGTTGTAAGGGCATTTGAAAAAGGATCAAACTTTGCTCGCAGTTTTTTTTTATATGCTCTTATGTAATTGCCTTCGCAAGAAACTGATATTGGGCTAACAATATGGTCTTTGTTGTTGTAAAACAAGAAATGAACTGGCCATATCCTTTAGTGAACATGGTATAGTTAGTGAGTGAGGCTTCCCTGTGGATGCCAAAAAGTCATTATTTTTTTGACAACACCTATTTGGCCGGTGTTCAGTGTTCTTATTGCTACCATGCCATTAAATGCCGACCAGACGAGATTTTGTCCACTTCTGGATTTCATATCCTTTCTTCTCTAGAATTGCGAGTTGGGGTTATAAAATGCAGCGGATTGTTTTGCTATGCATCCTCTGTGGTTTACAATCTCATGGCATTAATACTTTCCTTGGCAAAGACAGCCTTAGAAAATTATAACCCATATAACAGATGAAAACACTTATACACCGGATGTTCTTTTCTTTTTCTGTTTTGTGTTACGACTTGCTTATGCCATGTTTTGTAATGGATCCCATAGATTAAGGGCACAGGGTAGGCCCTTTACCTCCCATGTAT